ACGAGTGCAATGGAACGAGAAAGCGAGGATTGCACTATGTGGGAAAAAGATACAACGTATGAGCGAAGGCATGAGCGAATACTGATGTGCGAAAACATGCAACGGTTACGCGGTGCGTGCGAGCTAGCTAGTCCTAGGCTGGCATTGAGGTTCGGGCTAGCCCCGAAGCGTAGGCTGACTCGGTCGGGCCAGCGGTGCATGGTTTGGTGAAACAGTGCGCGCGAAGTTGGCGAAGCCCCGTTAGTAGTAACGAGCGAACAACAGCTGCTGCTATACGCGATGTTGATGGCCGCAGTAAGGAATGTCGAGAAAATCCCTTATAGTGTGATAGAATTTACTAATGTTGAGTGACGAACACTGATACCCGATTGATGATTCGTGGTAGATTTGCCAAAACCAGTGACCATTCGTGACAGCGCTGTGACTAGTTGTGATAACCCGCTACAATTGTTCTCGTTTAGAGTCCACGTGAAAAACGCACGCGATACGGGCCTTTGTGGAAAAACTCACAAACCCCAGGCAAACGGGACCCTATAGTCCCATTTCAGTAAAATTGCATGGAAAGCGGTTTTTCTTCTCTAGTATTTGTTGTTTATTGTCATTTACGTTCCATTCGAGAACGCGCTTGCTTCAACTTCTCGTCGCACAGTTCTCGACATTGTTCAATATTGCATGACAAACGGGCAGAAACAAACAAAATCAATTATGGTAGAGGCCTCAATGAAAGGAATTATTTTCGTTTTTTCCCTGTCATTGTCGAGCGCGCTGGGAGCCGCACAACGGGATTTGAAAGCAAGCGTGGTCAAGAGAAACAGACAATAACAGTATAAGATGTAAATATCAAAACGAAACTTACTTCCCTTATATTCTCCGTGAATTTTGGGCTGGTTCTATTTGGGTCCTCTGATTGGCTGCATAACTGATTCGTGCATGAACCCAGGCAAGTTGCAAAATGTCACAGCAAAAATGGGACTGTAGAGGTGGGGCTATTCCTAGGACATACACATAACGACCGATCATTTCTATCGGTTTATTTTCGTCCCCGGGTGAAGCGGCCGCCGGGCTCTCCACCTGTCTTCAAGGCGTGGTACGTTGCTCGTGGCTTCAGTCAGCGGCAGGGAGTTGACTACTTTCAGACCTTCTCTCCCACCCCGAAGATGACCACTCTTCGGGTGCTGCTGCACATAGCCGCTCAGCGCGACTACGAGCTTCACTCTCTCGACTTCAGCACTGCGTTCCTGCAGGGTAGCCTGCACGAGGAGATCTGGCTGCGCCGTCCACCTGGCTTCACTGGGACTTTCCCTCCTGGCACCCAGTGGAGCCTCCGACGGCCAGTCTACGGTCTCCGCCAGGCACCGCGTGAGTGGCACGACACACTGAGGACTACGCTTGCGGCTCTTGGGTTTGCTCCGTCTACTGCTGACCCGTCGCTGTTTCTGCGCACCGACACTTCACTGCCGCCGTTCTACATCCTCGTGTACGTCGACGACTTGGTCTTTGCCACAGCGGACACTGCTGGACTCGCCTACGTGAAGTCCAAGCTACTGAAGAGACACACGTGCACAGACCTGGGTGAACTGCGCAGCTACCTTGGCTTGCAGATCACTCGGGACAGAGCACGCCGCACCATCACCTTGACTCAGTCACACATGGTGCAGCAGGTCCTTCAGCGCTTCGGCTTCACGTACTCCTCGCCTCAGGCCACTCCTCTGTCTACTCGCCACTCACTCTCAGCTCTGCCTTCGGATGAGTCCGTAGAGTCGAGTGGCCCGTACCCAGAGCTTGTTGGCTGCCTCATGTACCTGATGACCTACACTCGACCTGACCTTGCATACCCTCTGAGCATTCTTGCACGCTATGTTGCTCCTGGGAGACACCGACCAGAGCACATGGCTGCAGCGAAGAGGGTATTGCGCTACCTGTCCAGTACGTCGGGCATGGGGCTAGTGCTTGGAGGGCGGAGTCCAGTGGTCTTTACAGGCCACGCGGACGCTTCTTGGGCTGACGACCAGGCTACGCAGCGGTCGTCACAGGGTTACACCTTCAGTCTTGGTTCCGGCTCTGTCTCTTGGCGGTCTACTCGTTCGTCTTCGGTTCTCAGCTCCAGTTGTGAGGCTGAGATCTACGCCGGGGCCATGGCTGCACAGGAGCTTCGCTGGCTCACCTACCTGCTGACTGACCTTGGAGAGCCGCCTCGTTCTCCTCCAGTGCTGTACGTAGACAACAAGGCCATGCTGGCCTTGTGTCGAGAGCAGCGCTTGGAGCACAGAACGAAGCACATTGCTCTCCGTTACTTCCTTGCTCGTGAGCTGCAGCAGCGTGGTCAGTTGCGACTTGCGTACGTGGCCTCTGAGGCCAACACTGCTGATGTGTTCACCAAGGCACTCGTGCCTTGTGACCATCAGCGCTTCTGCACCCAGCTGGGTCTTGTGCCTGTCTTGCCTCACTTGCTCTCTTCTTGACTTTACTTGTACTGTGACATATATATACCTGCTCCTGCTTGTCTAGTGTTATATATATGTTTGTACTCCTGCATGTGAACTGGCCTCTGGCCCTGCTCTTGTGCTCGGACTGTGTGGTGACTTTGTGATCCACCCTGAGCTTGCTTTGCTTTGCTTTGCTTGAGTGGTCTTGTGACCCCTTGTTCTCCCCCACTTTGCCTATGGGGGTGTGTCAGATTACTATAGCTGATACATGTTTGTAGGCTATAGTGGGGTAGCACATATGGGGTACAGCTTTCTAGGGTTGTATTTGTACCCAACACTGGCTTAGTCATTTCCATTCTGATCATTTATTTTCACACTTGCGCACGTTGGTATGCACCATTTCTAATCTTTGACCGAGGGTTGTGTGGGGCGTCCCTAATTTTACAAAGAGTCTGCTATAGATCCATGAAAAGAGTAAAAGTGGATTTCACAATAGGAAAACAGCCTTCATACGAGTGGTTATTGCCTCAGATTCGCATGATGAGATTTTCAACTTAGAGCAATAGGCGTCATTCATAGCCCCAGTTATCTAAGTGTCTAACTGAAATAGTCGAAAACGTGCAGGGTCACTTTGAAACGTGGGAACGGTGCATTGGGCACCCCTTGAAATTATCGGTGGTTAGGTATATAGGAAAAATCTACTCGACGGGAAAAATGGACTATCTTAGGAAGGGCCTATAAGCCAGAACGACCATTATTTTCGATACTCAAATTTTGCCTGAGCGCGTTCTTAGGTGTAATCACCAATAGAAACACAGTTTCGCGATAAAGTGGGGAGCTTTTCTGGCTCATGTTTGTATACAGTCAATAAAAAAATAATTGCAGCGCTTGCAAAAAAAAAATATAAAACACGTAGCGAACCTAGATGATTTCCGGCAAGGATCAACCCTAAATTCCGAAATCCGCCCAATATTTTGGAAAACATATTGCAATTCACTTGACAAAAAAGAAATAAAACCCAATCGGAAAGGGATGCGGCTCGGGAGGCATCAACCCTAAAAACAATGCCCACTCCCGTGTTTTAGGTTGACCCTCTCGAAAATGCATCCAGGTTCCCTAGGGTTTTTTTTTCTGCCATGCCTGAATAGTTATCGGTAGCGTCGTTTGCTTTCGGTAGCGTTGTTTAGCGGTCGGTTGCGCTAACGGGTACTACCAAGTGAATTATATGGGCTTCATTCTCTTACTGCCTAAATTTCCATACTTATATCGAAGTCAGGAGGGTAAACTGGATGGTTCCGTTTTTGTCATTCTAATGAAATCGACCAGTGTGAGAAATGTGACTATAAAGCGACGACCAATCAACTTTGAGAAAGTCCAGGTTGATTACACCTGAGAACGCGCTCAGGCAAAATCTGAGTATCGGAGATAATGGCCGAAGCCAGAACATTTGTATTGTTCGGCCCCCATTCGCCCCTTTTCACTTACACTGGCTTAAATTGATGCGCGCGCGCGCGCGCGCGAAACAGGGTGTACCTGAAACGCATTCCAGACCAACCAATCCGACGGTGACTTTGAGGCCGAACGAAAGGCTTTCGAACCGATTGGTTTTGGTTTTCCCGCCGAACTTCCTGCTGGTGTTTTCTTCGAAGTCGGGTCTTGCTCGGGGGAGCCCCCATCGTGTCCAGCCCTCCCCCGCAAACTCCACCTCTCCTCCCCCCTCCCTCTCGCTTCCTATCCTGGTTGCATCCAGCCTGGCAAATTTTGAGTTGCGTGGTTGGGCCAAAAAATTCAACGCAACCTATAATTGCGTGAGTCAGCACGAATCAGCATAGAGATTCATTGTTGTCGTGATCGCACGGAGAATGGCAGCCTACCCACTTGTTTACACACGTCACTTGGTATCGATGTGTACACCAGTTTCTGAAGAGAGTCTTACTAGCTCTGCTAAATGTGCGATTCAATGATGGTCTTTCACTCGCCTGCTTTCGTCAAGGGCACCAATGCGTAACATGCGTAACTTAGTACCCCTGTATTCGGGTGGCAGCGTCTGTTCCTAGTGATTCTTGTTCACAATTACGGCTGGTGTTCTCGCTAGTGATTCTTGTCGCTCAGGTCCTTGGACCTGCAGAAAAAAACGCTTAAAACGAGGTATGTAGACTTAGAAAAACGCTTGAACCTGGCAGCAGGTGTACAGTAGGACTACCGCCCTGATAAGCACGTGCGAACCCCCTTCTTGGGGGCTGGTAGAATAGTGAAAACCAGATCGAACCACCGCCATCTTGGAAACTAGGGGGGACTGTGGGCGTGCCTGTCACATGACCCAGATGTGACTACAGCCGTGGTGGCTCGCTCTGGGGTTTTTGGTAGCTGAGGCTGAGGGCCCATTCTGGGCTCCAGAGTGCTGTTGCGGACAAAATCTCCAAGAATGCTGGAGGGCCCCAAACCCCGAAAGTAGGTGTGGGGATCGCAGGGAAATTGTTTCACCCTGTTACAGTACGAGGTGGGCTGTTCGTAAAGCACGGAATGTGCCGCTCTTAGTAAACCGACGGACTTTGGCCTCTCGTCTATTCCGCAATGTGTAGCTTTAGTACTCAGGAGGAAGTATGTCCGAAATCCGCGGCGATAAGTCGGAGCAGTACGCGTAGCAGCAGCAACTTAAAGGACATGCCGCCTTTTCTTGTTATTTCCCGTCGAAAGGCCATTTTCTGTCTCCTCTCCCTCCTTTTGCTGCTGCTTCTCGCCTGTGTCGTGCGAAACGGCACGACAAACACGGTAGTCTCGTCGCCAAGTAATGCTAATGCAAATACTGCTACTACTAACTTCATCACCACTAGTAGTACTAACATTGGCGCCCTAAGAAGCGGCAGGGAGTGTAGGCGGCGTTCACGAACGGGTCATTGCGTGGAGGAGCTTTTCAGCCTCTACGACGACGCGTACCGGTACGTGCATGCACCTCGCCGCTCTCCCTTTCTATCCCTTTTTTTCTTTGCTCATCTCAGATATGGCCCGCTGTCGTTGCGAGGTGCTCGTTTTTTGTCAATCATATTATCTGCATCTCGTTTAAATTCTTCATCCATGTGACATGGCCTTTCTGCTGTTTGTTGGCAGATCGCTATGGCCTGCTCGTTTGGACCTCGTTATCCGCAGCCACGTGTCAAGCAGCTTCTTCCTGCTCGAAATGCTCTTTGACAGCATCGAGGCGATGTGGCCACGTGGCATTGGTGACGTCATCCTCATCCTAGACGGTGACGAGCAAGTGGCTGAGGATCTCATTCCCACGTGGATCAAAGTCTACTACGAGGATAACACGCTGAAGCTTCCAGGAAAGATCCTGCAGCAGTGGAGCTACCTCTGGGCGGACAACTACACGACAGCCCCATACGTGGCCATAATAGACGATGACGTCATTTTCAACATGAAAGTGACGCCCGGGTTACTGTTCAACCTGACGGACGGCAAGCCGTACGTGATTGGCAGCGCGAAGAACCAGAAGGACCTGTGGTTACCCTCCACCATGTTTTTCGTTGGCGAGGACAAGTACTTTGCCAACTTCATGGTGCAGCTGCCGTTTCTGATGCCGACCAGCGTGCTGCCACGATTCAGGAGCCATGTGGCAAATCTGCACAAGGATAAGGGCGGCAGCTTCGACGCGGCTTTCAAGTGGTACTCCAAGCATGGACCTTGGTTTAAGCGGACCCAAATCGCCCACACGACCATTGGGAACTACATGTGGGCGTACGCTCATCACGAGGTGCACTGGGCCTTGGAATGGACCAATCACACGCCGATCCCTCGTGTCGGCGTGCATATTTCCTACACGCAGCACTTCCGCGTCGCTACGGATCACAAGGGCAACGCGTCACGTGTCATCAAGGCATACGTCCAGGAGGCGGCTTATTATACGCACGAGGGTGTGTGTTATGCGCTACCTACTGGGGAGCTCCCTGGGTGTGATGATGTGAACCGCTTCCCTCAAAAACAGATATGGCAGTATGCCATGGATTGGTATGACTGGCCTGCTATCAAGAAGAAGAAGGCTAATGCTACTATAGTGTACGATCAGTACCGCAGCGAGCTGGCGTGCATGTACTGGAAGGTAGCTCAGGCAGTTGGTGGAGAGGAGCCGAGTGTGTTGGGGACAACTGTACAGCTGAGAGGGGCTGATTATGCTGGGAGAAGGAGGGAGCTATTGACATCTCTTCAGGAGTGTATCACCTCAAGGTTACTGTATAATCCAAGCAGCTGAGCTTGGTTGGAAAAATTAATGAACAGCATGCCATGGGAGCACTTGATAGTACTTGCACTGATGCCTTAGTGGGGCTTAACATACTTCAGGTTCTTGGACAGTGACTTTCGTTTCATAGCTGGAGTCAGGCCCCTAGATTCATTTTGAGGCACTCTGATCGATCAGATTGATAGTTTCATGTTGTTGATCAATCGATCAGTTTCATGAGATTGATACCTTCTGGTTGTTTTTTGATAGTCCCGTAGTCTCTGCATGTCTGTCTCATCAAACCAAATAACGTGTAAGGTGTCTTTTGGTATTGAGGGTACGTGCCGTGAAATGATCAAGAATTAGGTGTACACTGACATAGAAAACATATGTTTTGGGGTCCCTGCAAAGTCAAAGTTCCATCAATTTCATCCGGCCACTACAATGTCAGGTGCGCCATTGCCAACTTGGCGGAAAACTCAAGCCAGAAATGCTACAAAAATGTGACATATACGCCACCTTCCAGATACAAAAACCAAGTAGCTTTCCAGTCATGGTCAAAAGCTACAAGGGCAATGTTACGTGCAAAGTATCGAAGATGTGACATTCAAGTAGACATAAAGCATCCGTCTGAGTCACGTAGATGAGACATCTCGAGCATCGAAAACGTGACATTTTTGTCACATGTGCCACGTGGACAGCCAGCTCCCAAAAGTCTGGATATATTATTATTATTATTTAACACACATTGTGTTTTTTTAAATTGTATATTGTGAAAGCGAAGCTGCTTGTACTGCACAATCGGCATCGTCGAAGCGCGCTAAACGCCCTTCTCCAACTACATAAACCGTGGGCTGGAGCTCATTTCCCTCCACCCACGTTTCTCGATTTTCAAACGGCTCACTCAACATTCCCACCACCCACCCAAGAGTAAACCGCCTTGCTAGTGCCACTTGGATAGGGTACATCTTAGCTAGTATTATTAGTCTGCACTAGCTTGTATTCAACGTTGATGCAAATGTTGTAATAAGCCATTTGTAATGAGAACGATGCCAATTGATAAGAAAGAAAGCAAGCTTTCTCAATTTGGCTTTTCCAAAAACCTGGGAGCGAATCAGAGCCTGCCCTGTGGACCAATCTGGTTAACCTGTTGCATTTGCGAAAATCGGTGGGTATTGGTGGACAATTCAACATACGTACAGCGTGGTACTCTCCATCATGCGGTTGCTAAACTACAGTGGATGTTTAGATTCCCAGGCGTTCATATCGATAATAAGGCTCAACTAATATTGATTTATTAGACATAGATTTATAACATACGTGCAAATTCAGTCAAGACGAAATAGTACAGGGTAATTGTGCTGAAATTCTACAAGGGCTGGTCACAAGCCGACCACTAACTGCCCTTTCGAGCGTGCAACCCTGCAAGTAGTAACAAGAAACGAGAATGAATGAACTATGAATGAACTGAGTACTAGTACTAACCCTAATTGGGTTGTACCCCTTGTGGGCTACCCCACTATAGCCTACACAATAAGTACAAGCTATATGTTCTGACACACCCCCATAAGCAAAGTGGGGGAGAACAAGGGGTCACAAGACCAGTCAAGCAAAGCAAAGCAAAGCAAGCTCAGGGTGGATCACAAAGTCACCACACATTCTGAGCACAAGTTCAAGGCCACAAGGCCAGTTCACATGCAGGAGTACATATATATAAAGGACTAGACAAGCAAGAGCAGGTGTATATATATGCAACAGTACAAGCAAGGTCAAGAGGTGAGCAAGTGAGGCAAGACAGGCACAAGACCCAGCTGCGTGCAGAAGCGCTGATGATCACAAGGCGCAAGTGCCTTGGTGAAGACATCAGCAGTGTTAGCCTCAGAGGCCACGTACGCAATCCGCAACTGACCACGCTGCTGTAGCCCACGAGCAAGGAAGTAGCAAAGAGCAATGTGCTTTGTTCTGTGCTCCAGTCTCTGCTCTCGACACAAGGCCAGCATGGCCTTGTTGTCTACGTACAGGACTGGAGGAGAACGAGGCGACTCTCCAAGGTCGGTCAGCAGGTAGGTGAGCCAGCGAAGCTCCTGTGCAGCCATGGCCCCGGCGTAGATCTCAGCCTCACAACTGGAGCCGAGAACAGAAGACGAGCGAGTAGCCCGCCACGAAACAGAGCCGAAACCAAGGCTGAAGGTGTAACCCTGTGACGACCGCTGCGTAGCCTAGTCGTCAGCCCAAGAAGTGTCCGCGTGCCCAGTGAGGACCACTGGACTCCGCCCTCCAAGCACTAGCCCCATGCCCGACGTACTGCACAAGTAGCGCAACACCCTCTTCGCTGCAGCCATGTGCTCTGGTTGGTGTCTCCTAGGAGCAACATAGCGTGCAAGAATGCTAAGAGGGTATGCAAGGTCAGGTCGTGTGCAGGTCATCAGGTACATGAGGCAACCAACAAGCTCTGGATACGGGCCACTCGACTCTACGGACTCATCCGAAGGCAGAGCTGAGAGCGAGTGGCGAGTAGGCAGAGGAGTGGCCTGAGGCGAGGAGTACGTGAAGCCGAAGCGCTGAAGGACCTGCTGCACCATGTGTGACTGAGTCAGGGTAATGGTGCGGCGTGCTCTGTCCCGGGTGATCTGCAAGCCAAGGTAGCTGCGCAGTTCACCCAGGTCAGTGCACGTGTGTCTCTTCTGCAGCTCGGACTTCACGTAGGCGAGTCCAGCAGTGTCAGCTGTGGCAAAGACCAAGTCGTCGACGTACACGAGGATGTAGAACGGCGGCAGAGAAGTGTCGGTGCGCAGAAACAGCGACGGGTCGGCAGTAGAAGGAGCAAACCCAAGAGCCGCAAGCGTAGTCCTTAGTGTGTCGTGCCACTCACGTGGCGCGTGGCGGAGACCGTAGACTGGACGCCGGAGACTCCACTGGGTACCAGGAGGGAAAGACCCAGTGAAGCCAGGTGGGCGGCGCAGCCAGATCTCCTCGTGCAGGCCGCCCTGCAAGAAAGCTGTGCTGAAGTCGAGAGAGTGCAGCTCGTAGTCACGGTGAGCAGCAACGTGCAGCAGTAACCGAAGAGTGGTCATCTTCGGGGTGGGAGAGAAGGTCTGAAAGTAGTCAACTCCCTGCCGCTGACTCAAGCCATGAGCCACGTAACGCGCCTTGAAGACAGGCGGAGAACCCTGCGGCCGCTTCACCCTGAAGATCCACATGCCATTGACGATGTTCGCCCCAGGAGGGGGGACAGCGTCAACGTAGGTGCCTATGGACTTCCAGGAAGCCATCTCTGCATCCATAGCTGCCTGCCACTGAGAAGAGTAGGGACCCTCTATCGCCTCCGCGTAAGAGCGCGGAGTCGGGATGTCAAGTGCATCCGGGTCTCCCTCAGGGGTGAGCAGTACGTACACGAGATGAGGTGAAGCAGCGGCCAAGCACTGGAACTCCTCCTGCCTGTCCTCAAGGACGTCCGTGCGAAGGGCACACTCAGCCCCGACGGACGGAGGACAGACAGACTCAGACTCAGCGACAAGACTAGCAGCGTAGTCTAGGCGACAGCGAGCAGCAAAGTCGACGAGCTCAGCAACTAGGGCAGACGCAGCAGTGGACTCGAAAGAAGGGTCAGTGACGACAGTAGCCTGGAGACGCGTGACAGTAGGACTTGCAGCACGAAGAGAGTCCGACTCCGGGCCGGCAAAAGCAGGAAGAGAGGACTCATGAGGAGAAGGCAAAGGGGCACGCAGAGGAGCAGTGGATGGACGCAGAGACATCCTGTGCGTGCCAGGGACAGGAGGAGGACGCTGACGCGAACCACGACCACTAGCGCGAGCAGCACGGACAGGCGACGCAGGGCGAGACGCAGGCTCACGACGCTTAGTAAGACCTCCAATAGGACCAGTGTAGGGAGAAGGAGCAGGCAAAGGGGAGGTAGGCTGCAACTGTAACTGTGACGGGACTGGCTGTGGACACTCTAAAGAAGGAGGAGGACCAGTAGAAGGCGGAAGACAAAGAACCTGCTGCAGGAGTGGAACGAAGTACGGTCGAGGCCGCGCGGCGACGCTAGACACAGCAGGTACAGCACCAATACCCCCAGCAGGAGCACCCGCTCCAGCTGCACCTCTTGCAGCGCCAGAACCTCCAGCAGTACCAGGAGTACCCGCAGCAGGACCGCCAGCAGTAGTCTCAGCTCCAACACCCTCAACAGCACCAGCTCCAGTTGAACCCGCAGGCCCAGCAGCTCCAGTACTCCCAGTACGAGCACCTCCGGGACCCGCGACAGCAGCACCCTCAGTAGCCGAAGAATCTCCAGCACCAGCAGCACGCCTCCAGCGCCGGGCAAACCACTTGAGCAGCTCCCGTGGAGAGAGTGGTTCCCGCAGAGACGAAGCACCCGGAGAACCTCCAGGCGGAGCACCTCCAAGCTCAGCACCCCCAGGCTCAGCACACCCAGGCTCAGCACCCCCAGGCTCAGCACCCCCAGGCTCAGCACCCCCAGGTGCAGCACCCCCAGACTCAGCACCCCCAGGCTCAGAACCCCTAGTCTCAGCACACCCAGGCTCAGCACCCCCAGGCTCAGCACCCCCAGGCTCAGCACCCCCAGGCGCAGCACCCCAAGGCTCAGCACCCCCAGGCTCAGCACCCCCAGGCTCAGCACCCCCAAAGTCAGCACCCCCAGACTCAGCACCCTCAGCAGCACCAAAGTCACCAGTGACCTCGACAGGCTCGACTGCGTTTACCAGGGACACACCTGAAGGGGACGGACCCTGAGGGGGGAGGGGGTCTACCGGAGGGGGACCTGGTACAAGGAAGAGCGGCGGCGGGGGGAGGGACGGAGTGCGGTAGGGGAAGAGGCTTTAGTAGGGGACCGACTCGTCAAACGTGACGTCCTGGGAGGACAGAACACGGCGAGAGGTGGGGTGGTAGAACTGCCACCCAGGCGCGTCAGGGGGGAACCCCAGGAAGACGCAAGGAGCAGCACGAGGGGACAGCTTGTCCGCAGACAAGTCGCGGACAAACGCCCGAGATCCCCAAACCCGGAACGCCGACGC